GTGCCTCATTTTCCTAATTTGTAAGATGTGGTTAATAATGGTACAATAGTCCTCCCTTATCCACAGGGGATGCATTCCAAGACCCCCAGTAGATACTTGAAGTCTCAGGTAGTACTAAATTGTGTTTTTTCTATACATGTATATTTATATTTATACATATGTTTATATTTATGCATAGATATTTATGATAAAGTTTAAGAATTAGGCACAATATGAGATTAATAATAACTAATAGGATAGAACAATTTTTAAAATATACTGTAATTAAAGTTATGTGAATGTGTTCTCTCTCTCTCTTTCTCAACATAACAATATTTTCGGACCACAGTTGGCAGGTAACCACAACTGCAAATAAGTGGAGACTACTGTACACCAGTGTGTGTGTGTGTGTGTGTGTGTGTGTGTGTGTGTGTGTGTGTGTGAGATTTCCCAGCTCTGACCACTAGAGGGCCTCAAAGCACTAGCACCTACTGGCAATGGGAATATTGGTGCCCATGGTCTGTAAACATCATTCTCCCATGAAAGGAACTAGGGCTTCCAGGAGAAATAGCTGATCCAGGACTGGGGTGGAAAAATACAAAAGGAGACTCAAGCTTCTTGTGGTATCAGAAAGTAAGGAACTGCTAAAAAAATGATAGGGATGTATGTAAAGGTCACAGAAGCCAACTGGAAGGAGCTTCTGATGGCCAATTTTGGGACAATATGAGCAAGATAATAAAAAATGATAGTAATAGATTCCAACCCATAAATACCCATGAGTCCATGCTGATATAAATAAGTAACTGAAAAAATAAGTAAATAAGGAAGAAGAGGCTGGGCATGGTGGCCAGTGCCTGTAATCCTGGCACTTTGGGAGGCCAAAGCAGGGGGATCACTTGGGGCCAGGAATTAGAGACCAGCCTGGCCAACATGACAAAACACCATCTTTACTAAAAATACGAAAATTAGCTGGGTGTAGTGGTGTGTGCCTGTAATCCCAGCTGCTCAGGAGACTGAGGCAGGAGGATCACTTGAGCCCAGAAGGTGGAGGTTGCCGTGAGCTAAGAAAAGAAATAACTCTTTCTTATGGCAGAATTCTGGTTAATAAATGTAGAAGGAAAACTGGAAAGAAAATCACTATTTGGCCAACACTGCAGTAATAATTATTTATAGGAAACAATCATTCATAGATTCTAGAAATTAATGTTAAAAGTATGATGATGATGTAACTGGTGAATAACAAGAAAAAAATGTTTGATGAGAAGAAACAGGCTATTTACCTATCTCCAAAGTGTCTCTCCACAAGATACTAGTTACAAGGAGACTAATAGCAACTTTTACCTGCAGACATCACGTGAACCAAGTGCTTAAAGTGAACCTCATCAGTAATGAAAGATACCGACATCCTGGGCCCGTTCCTGGGACATCCAGAGAAGGATACCTCACTTCTGTAGTATTCTTGCCCAAAATATGTAACTGCAAATATCAGACAAACCCAAATTCAAGGGCATTCTACAAAACAACTGGCTAGAACTTTTCAAAAGTGTCAAGGTCTGGAAAGAGGGAGAAAGACTGAGAAACTATTCTAGGTTGGAGGAGGCCTGGGAGATGTGACATTTTATTCAGAGGGATCCTGGATTGGAGTCTGGAGTAGAAAAAGGACATGAGTGGGATGATTAGAAAGATATGAACATTTTTAGATTAGTTAATATTGTGATATCAGTGCTAATCTCCTGGTTTTTATAATCGTATTATGGTTACATAAGATATTGTTTGAAGACGATTGGATGAAGAATATACTGGAACTCTATTTTTATGATATTTTTGAAAGTCTGAAAAATCAAAAGTAAAAAAAAGAAATGTATTAGATTTCTGTGAGGACAACATGAAATAGTGTGAAATAGTGTGAAGTGCTTAGAACAATGCTTGTGATACAGGAGTTCTTAATGTGTCTGATACTATAAGTAGTTTTATAATTAAATAATATTACAATTAATGAATAATATGTTATTGTAAGTACTTTATTTCCTAATGTCCTCATATATTCTCACTTCTTTTCTTTTCTTTTTCTTTCTTTTTTTTTTTTTTTTTGAGACGGAGTTTCCCTGTTGTTACCCAGGCTGGAGTGCAATGGCGCGATCTCGGCTCACCGCAACCTCCGCCTCCTGGGTTCAGGCAATTCTCCTGCCTCAGCCTCCTGAGTAGCTGGGATTACAGGCACGCACCACCATGCCCAGCTAATTTTTTATATTTTTAGTAGAGACAGGGTTTCACCATGTTGACCAGGATGGTCTCGATCTCTTGACCTTGTGATCCACCCGCCTCGGCCTCCCAAAGTGCTGGGATTACAGGCTTGAGCCACCGCGCCCGGCCCTTTTCATTTATTTTTTTTTTTTTGAGACGGAGTTTCACTCGTTACCCAGGCTGGAGTGCAGTGGAGCAATGTCAGCTCACTGCAACCTCCGCCTTCCAGGTTCAAGCAATTCTCCTGCGTCAGCCTCCCGAGTAGCTGGGATTACAGGCATGCACCACCACACACGGCTAATTTTTTTCAAATTTTTTTTGAGACAAAGTTTCACTTTTGTTGCCCAGGCTGGAGGGCGATGGCGCGATCTTGGCTCAGGGCAACCTCTGCCTCCTGGGTTAAAGTGATTTTCCTGCCTCAGCCTCCTGAGGAGCTGGGATTACAGGCATGCGCCACCACGCCCGGCTTCCAGCTAACTTTTTGTATTTTTAATAGAGGCGGGGTTTCACCATGTTGGCCAGGCTGCTTTCGTACTCCTGACCTCAGGTGCTGTACCTGCCTCGGCCTCCCAGAGTGCTGAGATTACAGGCGAGAGCCACCACGCCCAGCGTATTCTCACTTATTTCTATTTCCCTTTCCCCTGGAAAAGCATGTTGAACATGTATGTGATTAAGAGATAAAATAAGATAAGATTTTATTTTGAGAATTATTCTGGGGATAGAGGAGCTATTATTTCCTTTAGCCACTAAGTAGCTCACACTCAGGCCCACGTTGCAAAACTGCTTGGCTGGGAAACAGGGTTTGAGCCCCGCCGCTACCCACCCTATGTGGCTTGTGATGGCGCCCCCTGGCGGCGCAGCGAGCTTGCCCCAGTTCTTCGCCCTCTTCGTTTACGAGTGCCTTGGAAATTCCACGCAGTCCATTTATTAAACCCTTTCTAGGTCATGCCGCGGATCATTTAATCTTCACAACATGTGTGTGTGACAAATGGTATTTTCTTCATTTTGAGACGATAAAACGGAAACTCAAAAAAGTGAGGCGACTTGTACAGGGTTGCAAAGTGAGTGGCAGAGCCAGGATTTGGATATAGGTCCCCCTGACTTCCAGGCTGAGTGTAAAGGTCTAGGTAAGTTTAAAAGTGAGGCAATGTAGAGAACTATTGGTGTAGAGCAGTGGTTGTTGACCAAAGGTGGTTCACCTTCCAGGGACATTTGGCAATGTTGGGAGATAGTTTTGGCTTCCATAACAGGGGTTTGGATGGGGGAGAGGGAAGGCTGATATTGGTATCGAGTGGAGAGAGGCCATGCGGATGCTGCTGAACGTCTCACAGTGCACAGAACAGCTCCCACTACAGGAACTGTTCAGCTCAAATGCCAGTAGAGCTGCTATGAAGTCCTGGTCTGACTTAGAAACCTGAGGATGCGTCTTGCACTTAGCTAATGTTTGCTGAGTGCTGAACTGGACAGCGTGAGGGATATGGAAACAGGGCACCAGTCTGTGCCCACCAAGGAGGCTGCAGCCTAGAAGGGCAGGGGGTGGAGGCAGGAGAGGCACATGAAGGCCTTCTGTATAAGGCAGCAGATGATCAGTGCAAGAAGAGAGCATCCGGTAGGGCTGAGCCGGCTTTCAGGAGGAAGAGTGCACCTCTGACTATGGGAGGAACTGAGGGAAGCTGTGGGAAGGTGGTTTTGAGCCGGGTGTGTAAACAAAGTTGAGCTGGTGGGAAAAAAAATGCCTATTCAGGGAAGGGCAGACAGGCTAATTTGGGTAAGAAAAAAGAGTAGTTTTTAGTGAGTCGAGAGAGGTACACTGGAAAGGCAGGTTGGGGCTAGAGCTTTGAGTCCAGGCTGAGGACTCTAGCCTGGGTGTCTGTCATAGTGTTGGAAAAGTCCTCTTTTTTAAAATAGTGGGCTAGGCCCTAGGGCTGTGGGGCTCAGCAGCTTTCAGAGTGCCCGCTCTACACAGGAGGGGATGTTGGACATTGGGGTGGAGAAGGGAGAATGTTTCCTGATTTTAAGACCAAGTTAATGCTGAGTATGTAACAAAACCGTTTCACCTCAAAGTGGCCCTTGGGGAGATGGTGCTCCCAAGTGGAAATACACATGGGGGTCCGCTCTCTTCTGTGTGGTTGTTCTATGAAGGACTGGACCACTTTATAGTGAAATCTGGACCGGATTTGGAACCCCTAAGCCAAGGTCTGCTTCCCAAAATGTGAGCTGTTACAGCAGGGCTTGCTGTGGATAAAGCTGCAAATATGGACACTACCTGGTGACAGGCTTTTTCTAGTTTATTACATTACCGTTAAATAGCATTAAGACATGTTGGTTGCATGTCCGGTGCACTGTAAAGAATGTAAGCCATGACTTCCTGATCTTCTATAAAGGTACCACCCTCCCATCACCATCATTAAGGTTAGCAGTGAGATATATGTTACTCTTTTGGAAAAGGGTTGGGGGAGAACATATGGGAGCCAATCTTTGTTGGGCTGGTACATACATACATACATACATACATACATACATACTATGTGTGTGTGTGAGGAGGATCAGCTACAGTTGCAGATATGTTCACGTACTGAAAATATCTCATTTAACTCTCTCAACATCATTTGGGTTTAAGTAGTTTGCTGTTTTTCATAAAGGAGGAAACTGTCACTGAGAAAGGCTCACTTACCCCAAACCCCCATAAATAAAAGGGGCTGCATTTTGATGCATCTGTGGCCTGTTCTGCCACATTTCCTCCCCCCATTTTTCCCTTCATAGACAGTCTTGTTTACCTGGTTTCGGGCTGCTGGAGACCGTGGACATCAGCATTAGTGGCAGCAGCAGGAGGAGGGAAGAGATTAGAACTTTCATTGCAACTGTCGGTTCAGCTGTAAGTTGCTTGAAGAGTATAATGGAAGGTTTCCCTTTGGAGGCTCCTGATCTCTGGGGATGGCTCAGGCCAGGGTACTCAGCCTGGCAGTCTGCGCTTTAGTCTCATACCAGCTTTCCCATTCGAGGGCAAGAACAGGTGAGGTGACGCTGCCTTGCTGTTAGGTAACAGATTAGACCATGTGCTTTATGGGAATCTGGGAGGTGAAACTGGTCAAACAAAATAAATGCAGCATTCTTAAGAACATAAGAAGGTGACTGATAACTTGGCAGCTATGCCTGTTCTCTCCCGTACTCCTTTCCCGCCTCCCACACCCCAGTGCCTCATGATTTCTTCCTCAAGTCTTTTTTGCTCACTTGGATTTCCTTATAGCTTCCAATGACCCTCTCTATGTGAGTATTTGGCAGGGAAGTGGGTGCTAAGTGTTGGTAGAAGAGACGGTGACAAGGTCTGTTTGCCCTCTGTGCTCCCATTCCCATCCTTGACAGAATACCTGGAATAGCAGTGTTGCTGCCTGGGAAGTTGCCCTGTCTTCGCTCTGTTCACAGTTCCCTCCAATTCTGTAGCCACATAAGGTGGGAGCAGAGCAGGATCTGGGGCAAGAGGCCGCTCCCCCTGCCCAGAACATCGCCACTGGAGCAGTGGGTAACACCAGGCCTCCTTGTGTGTCCATCGGGAAGATGGCCATGGCCTTGTTGTTCCAGCAGTAAAGGAGAGGGAACTGGGTTGGGGGAAGACCCCCAGAGCTACAGGTTTGAGAAACAGGAGCCACAGGAGGGAAGGAGCCCTGGAAGTGTGTTTGCCCAGCTGCTGGGGCGCCTGGCTCCGGCCCTTGTTTGGAAATGGCCCCAGGCTAAAGAAGAAAGGTAATAATACTTGAAGTAAACATGAAGGGTCATGGAATATCAGGACTTACTAAACTTGACATTTATTTGAGACTTCAGGAAATATGCTCAAAGGAAGAAAAGAGGCTGGGCCTGAATACTTGGTGATTTTCATGGGGGCTGAAGGGAAGATTAGCAAGGGAGCCCTCCTTGGAAGCCTCCAGGCAGGAGTGAGAGCAGGGGGTGTGACTTTGTTTCCCTGACAGGAGGGAAGAGGCAAGGCGTGAGTCAGAGCCCTTTGAGTTTTGTTTGACCGTTCTTTTTTCTTCATGTTTTCAAATTATCTTTGCCTGTTGACTTGTCACAGACTTGACTATGGACTTTGCTCCTGCAGGGTTTATAAAGCACTGCAGGGCCAGGGACTATGCCAGGACTGAGCCTGTGTTCAAGTTGAAGGCACAGGCTGGGCTTGTTCTGATGCAAATCACTGGTGCGGCTTCTTTCTGGAAAATTCTAAAAATGGTCTCTGCCTTTAGGAGGCTCAAGTCTAACCAGGGCGTTGACATCCAGTTCATAAAGCCTAGAGAGATGAGTGCAGTCATCTCTCAAAGTGCCAGGAGAGCAGGGGACTGAGCACGTGGAACACTAGCTGGTCTCACAGGGTAGGGGAGGATTTGGGTTGGTGGAGGGCAGAGAGGAGGGCCATGCAGAGCAGGGGCATTTTGTAGGAGAGAGTCCCCTGGAGCTCTTTGCATGGGGATCTTTGAGGACAGGGCTGTTTGTGTTCTTTTTTGTATTCCGTGAACTTACACAGGGCCTGGCACTTTGAGAGTATTCTATAAATTACTATTGAATGGGATGATGGTTTTGTAGCCTATTAACTGGGCCTGATGTATTAGAAAGTGTGCGAAAATGCAGCTCATTAGCAGAAAGAACATTTTACTGAAAAACCGTCCTGTATACAAATGGAGCTTAGTGGGGCCACTTTACTTTTGCTGCTGTGTTCTCATCAGTCCACACAGAGGCTACCGGAGGGGCCGGGAAGCTCCTCCTCAGACCTTCCTCTGGGTCCCACAGTCTCTTTACCCCTCCATTCTCCCAGGTCCTGCTCCCTGTCAGTTCACTCCATCTCATTTTCCCTCCATGCCCTTGGCATGGGTGTCACATCCTGTGTCTCATTGGAGGGGGCTTTGGGTCCCTCAGTTCCATTGATTAAAACACCCCCAAGACAAATGGACTTTTTTCTTGTTAACATGACAGCTCCTTAAAACGCGTCTCAAGAACATTACTTGTGTCAAGAGTCTCTCTGATGTGCAGAGGCCCTCCCTCCCCCAGGAAGGAGGTAAGGGGAAGTTAGGAGAAAACCCCGTTCTGCCTGGGTTACTTAGTTCCTTATTCTACAGTGTACTTGGTAGACATTCAAAAATATGTATTGACTTTGTCCATGATTCACACGGCTCTAATATAGTCATTTATTCACACATATGTTCAGTGAGGCTTTGAGCACCTGATGTGTGCCTGGTATTTGCTGGATGGTCGATGCTGAGAAGATGAGGTGTGCTGCTGTCTCTCAGGAGCTCTCACTATGCATCTGGACCTAGGGTGACCGAATCCACCTGCTCCACTTCACAGACGTGGAAACTAAAGTGCAGGGAAGTTATAGGATTAGTTCAGCGACATGGTCACTAGCCTCAAAGTTAAGGGAGTAAAGCAAGTTTCCCGACTTGCTGGATTTTCTGTTAGTGTTCAGCCATCTGGCTAGTGTGCAGCTACCTGGTGAGCTCTGATGGGAGAGAGAATGTTCAGAGTGAAGTCAGAGCCCTGAGCTCCCTGGATTAGCCAGGAGGACATGTTGGGTCCAGCTGTGACTGCATGAAGGACCATTGGGGAGTTTTGCATTCTTTTTCACTTTGAGCTTCAGATGAGGAAAACTGACCCCAGAAAAACCAAGAGTGGAAAATTTTTCATAGGGGATTGATGAGATGGGTCAGAAAACCCTGTATTGGGTGGGTGCAGTGGCTCATGCCTGTAATCCGAGCACTTTGGGAGGCTCAGGTGGGAGGATGGCCTGAGCCCAGGAGTTTGAGACCAAGTGTGTACAACGTGGTGAGACCCTGTCTCAACAAAAAGTATTTTTTCTTTTTAAAAAGAAAACCTTGTGTTGATGTCTGTCACGGTGTTTCTCACTGGATGGTTTGGCTTTGAGTGGGTTCCATCTGTAGCCTGGAGCTCTGTGAGGCAGGGACCAGCTGTGATTCACCTTTGTCTCTCCAGTGACAGTGCACAGCAGACTCCAATAAATATTTCTTACAAAATAAAACTGAGTAAAAAATAGACACCTGCACAGATGTGGGATGGCTGAGCAGTGACACAAGCAGGAAAAGTCAGCGTCCCCAGGTCAGCTGATGTGGCGTTTAGCTGCTAGATAGGGATGAGGTGCCAGGATGGGGATGGGGGTCCTGTGGCTCTGCTGCTCTGGGGAACACCCCTAGGATTCAGAGTGTCTGCTGTGATTGTTGCACTTCACTTGCCTGTGGGAAAGTGAGCAGAGGGTGTGGGGCTTCAGGTCACCCCAGGTGGGAAATGGCTGAGGGAAGATGGGTGGGTGGCGTATAGAGGTTGTTTCCCAATATTTGAAGGTGGGTTGTATGAAAAAATGTTGGACTTATTTCAGCCTACAGAGAGGAGGACGAGGATTGGTGAGTGTGTCTCAGACATATTTTGGCTCAGGATGGAAAAGAACTGTCACAGTAAAGTAACTTTCCTTGGGAAATTACAAGTTTACTTGTAAGTTCAGGCCAGAGCTTGGTGTCTGAAAATAAGGTTAAAAGAGCAGAGCTGGACTTGAAACCAGGTTTCCCACTGATACCACATATTAAGATATTATACCAACTGCCCTTTGCAATGAGTCACTGCTCTATGATGCAGGCTGAGCTGCCTGATGGTTGTTTCCTGTCTTTGTTGGGTGGTTGTGATTTTATCTCCTCTGAGACCGGGACTTTGCCCCTTACCCTTTGGTCTTGCCAGCCCTCCTACTTCCTTTACTGGTGACAAGGGTTAAGTGCATTTACTGATGATGGTCACAAGGTGGCAGCACTGCCTCACTGGTATTTCCTAAGACTTCTGCTTGGATGTGGGCTAGTCTAAGACGTTGTTAATCCAGGCTAAAGGTAACCTGTATTTTCTTTTTTTCTCCTGTGAAGTAACAGAATTTGAGGTGAATGTGAAATAATTGCATTTTAGAACTGGAAGTGCCATGTGCAGTGGTTCATGCCTATAATCTCAACACTTTTGGAGGCTGAAGCAGGAGGATGGCTTGAGCCCAGGAGTTCTAGACCAGCCTGGGCAATGTGGCAAGACCCCATCTCTACAAAAAATAAAAAAATTAGCCAGGCACAGTGACACATGCCTGTGGTCCCAAATACTCGAGAGCCTGAGGCAGGAGGATCACTTGAGCCCAGGAGGTTCAGGCTGCAGTAAGCTATGATCATGTCACTGCATTCCAGCCAGCCTGGGAGACAGAATGAGACTGTGTCTCAAAAAACTCCAAAAATGAATAAAAAAAAGATCTGGAAGAAATGCTTCACACACTTTAATGTGTTCACAGATCATCCAAAGATCTTGTTTAAATACAGATTCTGATTCTTCTGGTGGGGCCTGAGATTCTTCATTTCTTTTTTTTTTATGATTGGCATTTTCACAAGATTCTGCATTTCTAAGAGCATTTGGGCAATGCCATTGCTGCTGATTGGGGGACCACACTTTAAAAGGCTCGAGTATCATTTAGAGATGAATTCTCACTGCATCTGATTTATGGATGAGGAGAGACTAAAGTGCAGAGAGAGACTGTAACTTGCTCTCCATAGCCATGCCCTTACTGCAAGACTTTTTGAGTTTAAACCCAGGGCTTCGGCCTCTTTGTCCAGTCCTTGCTCCATGTATCACGTGGCCCCTTCACTGTTGCTGGTGGCATCTCTTTAGCTTAGGAACTCAGAACCCCATTTTTATCACCCACTCTGGGCTTGGCATAGGGTGTCACTTTGACTGGTTCTGCCCTTACTGAAAACCTTCAGTCACTCTTTATTTTTTCAGATGGAGTCTCGCTTTGTCACCAGGCTGGAGTGCAGTGGCATGATCTCGGCTTACTGCAACCTCTGCCTCCTGGGTTCAAGTGGTTCTCCTGCCTCAGCCTCCTGAGTACCTGGGACTACAGGCACGTGCCACTACACCCAGCTAATTTTTATATTTTTAGTAGAGATGGGGTTTCACCATGTTGGCCAGGATGGTCTCCATCTCTTGACCTCGTGATCCACCCGCGTTAGCCTCCCAAAGTGCTGGTATTAGAGGTGCGAGCCACCATACCTGGCCTTCAGTGACT